ACCGCGAGGCAGTGTCAGGGGCGTGGGCCTCACAGTGGAAAGCGGCTATGGCCTCGGAGTTAGCGTCTTGGAGATCCACAGGCACCTACGTCGACGCAGTTCCCCCTCCCAGGGCGAACGTAGTCGATGGCATGTGGCTCTTCAAGGTGAAGCGGTCGCCTGGTTCACCGCCTGTGTTCAAGGCGCGCTACGTGGCTAGGGGTTTCAGTCAGCATGAGGGAGTTGACTTCTTCCAGACCTTCGCCCCGACCCCGAAGATGACTACTCTTCGGGTGTTACTGCACGTAGCAGCACAGCGAGACTACGAGCTGCACTCCCTTGACTTCTCTACTGCGTTTCTCCAGGGCCGACTACACGAGGAGATCTGGCTGCGCCGCCCTCCTGGCTTCACTGACACCTTCCCACCTGGGACCCAGTGGAGCCTGAGACGGCCAGTCTACGGTCTCCGCCAGTCGCCCCGTGAGTGGCACGACACTCTTCGCTCCACGCTTCGTGACCTTGGGTTTTGTCCTTCCTCTGCCGACCCGTCGCTGTTTGTTCGCACTGGTTCCACTCCTTTCTTTATACTAGTGTACGTCGACGACTTGGTCTTTGCCACAGCAGACAGGGCAGCTCTGGCTCAGGTGAAGTCCGAACTGCAGAAGAGACACACGTGCACTGACCTAGGTGAACTGCAGTGCTACCTTGGCCTGCAGATCACCAGGGACAGAGCCGCTCGCACCATCACACTGACTCAGTCACACATGGTGCAGCAGGTCCTTCGGCGGTTCGACTTCCAGTTCTCCACCACACAGCCCACACCTCTTGCTGTTTACCACAGACTCACTGGCCCCTTTCCTGACGAGCCTTTTGAGTCCAGTGGTCCCTACGCAGAGCTGGTGGGCTGCCTCATGTACCTGATGACTTGTACTCGGCCGGACCTCGCCTTTTCCCTCAGCGTCCTCTCTCGCTTTGTTGCTACTGGGAGACACCGTCCTGTCCACTGGACAGCTGCTGTGAGGGTGGCGAAGTACCTGGCGACTACATCAGGCATGGGGCTTGTGCTTGGAGGGACTCAGCCAGTGGCGTTGACTGGTCACTGCGGCTCTTCCTACGCTGACGACGTGGAGACTCAGCGCTCGACTCAGGGTTACTGCTTCAGTCTGGGTGCTGGTGCTGTGTCGTGGAGGTCTACACGGTCGTCGTCTGTGGCTACTTCCAGTGCAGAGGCAGAGATATACGCTGGTGCCATGGCGGCACAGGAGCTTCGCTGGTTGACCTTCTTGCTCGCCGACCTTGGTGAGCGGCCTCGCTCTGCACCGACCTTGTACGCTGACAACAAGGCCATGATCCTCCTCTGTCGAGAGCCTCGACTGGAGAGCAGAGTGAAGCATATTGACGTGAGGTACTTCCTTCTACGAGAGCTGCAGCGACGCGGCCAGGCACGCCTGGACTTTGTGGCCTCAGAGGCCAACACTGCAGATGTCTTCACCAAGGCCCTGGCGCTTGGTGACCACCACAGGTTCTGTGTGCAGTTGGGGCTTGTTGAGGTAGGCCCTCGGTTGCTGTAGACTTGCTGTTTGCTCTGCTTGTTGTGCTTTGCTATATATATCCTAGTGAACTCTTGAACTGGCCTTGTGGCCGCTTGCTTGTGCTCGGAATTTGTGTGGTGTCCTTGAGATCCACCCTGAGCTTGCTTTGCTTCTTGCATTGACTGGTCTTGTGACCGTTTGTTCACCCTGCTTGCTTTGATGCCCCTCACTTAGCCTATGGGGGTGTGTCAAATGTTATTATAGGTTCTTAGGCTACAGTGAGTAGCACTCTAGGGAGTACAACACTTTTAGGGTTGCTATTTGTATCCCTTGTTTCCCTAGTTCACACATTCCGTTGTTCGCTAACTTTGAGAGGAATTTCTGTCCTGGTTATACTGATTTTCAAGGTGTTTTTGTGTACCGGTTATGATTTTTCAGCGTTTTCGTTTTGTGAACAGCGAATCTTCAGTACGTATTTTGGTTAAGCCGGCCCTGAAGTTTCAAGGACCTCTCATCTTTTCCTCTTTCTAGCAGTTGGGGAGAGTGGAGTCGTGCGGGAGTTATGATACCTGCACCTCATGTGTCTGACCTCCATGGATGTTGTAATGAAAGTGCCGTATCTCATGCTTACCGAATCTACTTCCCACAAAGAGCAAGAACTCAACTGCATGAGCAGGGGAGGAAGTTCAATGCCATCCGGAGTGGTGTAAAATCTGTGATAGTATCTGTGCTAAAGCTACATACATTGCCTTCAGAATATTATGCAGATTCAGATGTTGATGTTGCATTCAATAATCTGCAACAATAATCCAACATTGGTATGACATGACCAGTCACAAGCTATACATAAAACGAAACATGGGAGTACAGGGTAGACATCAGCTTCAACATCTGTCCTCCAATGTAATGAAAGTACCGTAACTCCTCATTTCTCCACTGCTGTAGCCGTCCTGTCACATCCTGCATCCACCTTTCCTCCATCACTCCCCTTTTTTCTACTCCCCTTCCACTCTCCTCCTCTTCTCTACTCACCTTTTTCTGTACCCCCTTCTCCATTCTGCCTCTTTTCTGCTCCACGCCCCCCCTTCTCTGCCCCCCTTCTCTACTCAGCTTCTTTTCTGCTCCCTTTCTTCTGCTCCCCTTCTTCTTTGGTCCGCTTCTTCTCCGCTCTGCTAACCTTCTTATCTGCTCTGCTGCATCACTACTATCTCCACACGGCCTATACCACTCTAGATTCACTACTCTGCTCCATCCACTCACCCACCCTTCCCTTCACTTAGCCAATCCTAACCTCAACTGCTGAACCGCTTCACCGCTTCACTGCTTTTTCACTGCTTCACCGTCACTGCTACAACGGTACACCCCCTACTGCGTCACCCCTTCACTGCTACACCGCTTCATTGCTACACCGCTTCACTGCTACTCTGCTACAACCCTTCACTGCTACACTGCTACACTGCTACACCCCTTCACTGCTACACAGCTGCACTGCTACACTGCTACACTGCAACACTACTACACCCCTTCACTGCTACACCCCTTCTCTGGTACACTGCTACACCCCTTCACTGGTACACTGCTACACCCCTTCACTGGTACACTGCTACACCCCTTCACTGGTACACTGCTACACTGCTTCACTGCTACACTGCTTCACACTGCTTCACTGCTACACCCCTTCATTGCTACACCCCTTCGCTGCTACACCTCCTGCTACACCCCTTCTCTGGTACACTGCTACACCCCTTCACTGCTACACTACTTCACGGCTACACTGACTCACTGCTACGGCTACACTGACTCACTGCTACACTGCTTCACTCTACACTGCTTCATTGCTACACCCCTTCACTGCTAAACTGCTTCACTGCTACACCCCTTCACTGCTAAACTGCTTCACTGCTACACCCCTTCACTGCTAAACTGCTTCACTGCTACACCCCTTCACAGCTTCACTGCTTCACTGCATCAGGCGGCTTCTCCCCTTAACTGCATCAGGCGGCTTCTCCCCTTAACTGCATCAGGCGCGGCTGCTTCCCTTAACTGCATGAGGCGCGGCTGCTCCCCTTAACTGCGTCAGGCGCGGCTGCTCCCCTTAACTGCATCAGGCGCGGCTGCTCCCCTTAACTGCATCAGGCGCGGCTGCCCCCCTTAACTGCATCCGGCGCGGCTGCTCCCCTTAACTGCATCAGGCGCGGCTGCTCCCCTTAACTGCATTAGGCGGCTGCTCCCCTCCACTGCTCCATCCCTCTCTCCCTGTGGCTCCAGGCCGACGCATCAAGTGGCGAACCCCCCACACCCACGCCAGTGTGAGAAGGCCCCAAGGCTTTAAGTGAAACCGCAAGCCTCCTAAACGGGAAACCTTCAGGTGGACCTAGAATGAGTATTTCCACACCCACGCCAGTGTGGACTCATCATTCCGAGGTAAGATAAACTCTCCGCACCCACGCCAGTGCGGTCTCCTTTCTCTTTAGAGTGACTCAAGCCCCCCGCACCCACCCCGGTGCGGTGCTGACTTGTGGTGCAAGCGCAACCCCAACAGTGATGCTACCTGGAGTGTCAGGTACCCGGATTTGCTTGATTCTGGGCCCAGGCAGTGCAAAGCCTCCCGAGCGACTTTGCACTGCCAGAACCAAGCACCGGCCCTTACTCCATCACATTACTGCCGAGCCCACACCCACACCGCGCCACTCGCCTTAGGACCGGCTGAGCCACACACTAGACTCAGCCACCTCTTAGACCACCATCCAGTTTCCCGCTTAGCCACCATCAGCGCAACCCTTCGCCACATCCCTCCCACTGCTTCGCCACATCCCTCCCGCCCAGCCTCCGCTTCCGCAGCAACCGCTTCTGCAGCCTCCTCCTGCGTCTACTCGTTGCAGCTCAGCCTCCGTCTACGCCGCTCCCTTGTAGGCTGCTACGCTGCTTCCTTGTAGGCTGCTACGCTGCTTCCTTGTAGACTGCTACGCTGCTTCCCTGTAGACTGCTAAGCTGCTTCCCTGAAGACTGCTACGCCGCTCCCCTGCAGACTGCTACGCTGCTCCCTTGTAGACTAATTCGCTGCTCCCTTGTAGACTACTTCGCTGCTCCCTTGTAGACTGCTACGCCGCTTCCCTGAAGACTGCTACGCCGCTCCCCTGCAGACTGCTACGCTGCTCCCTTGTAGACTACTTCGCTGCTCCCTTGTAGACTGCTACGCCGCTCCCCTGTAGACTGCTACGCCGCTCCCTTGTAGACTGCTTCGATGCTCCCTTGTAGACTGATTCGCTGCTCCCTTGTAGACTGCTTCGCCGTCCCTTGTCCCTTGTGGCCACCATCCACCCATCCTGAACCTCCGCTTCCGCAGCCCATACTCCGCTTCCGCAGCCCATACTCCGCTTCCGCGGCCCATACTCCGCTTCCGCCGCCCATACTCCGCTTCCGCCGCCCATACTCCGCTTCCGCAGCCCGCACTCCGCCTCCGCAGCCCGCACTCCGCCTCCGCAGGGTTCAGGGGTTCATCTCCTCTCCATGCTCCTTGGGCTGCTCTGAGTCATAGGCTGCTGAGTCGTTGGCTGCTGAGTAGTTGGCTGCTGAGTAGTTGGCTGCTGAGTAGTTGGCTGCTGAGTAGTTGGCTGCTGAGTAGTTGGCTGCTGAGTAGTTGGCTGCTGAGTAGTTGGCTGCTGAGTAGTTGGCTGCTGAGTAGTTGGTTGCTGAGTAGTTGGCTGCTGAGTAGTTGGCTGCTGAGTAGTTGGCTGCTGAGTAGTTGGCTGCTGAGTAGTTGGCTGCTGAGTAGTTGGCTGCTGAGTCGTTGGCTGCAGTCGCAGGCTGCTGAGACGTAGGCCGCTTCGTTCACATGATCTGTCCTCTGCTCCGCCATTTGCTTCGCCTGTTCAAGAAAACGCAAGACAGAAATCAGTACACGTATTCCATAACTCGTATCTTAAAAAACGAACTGACAAGCAAGTAGGTCAAGCAGAGAGCGATCCGTAAAAGCTTACCAGCTGCTCCCTTGTAGGCTGTCCGCCACTCCCTCGTAGGCTTGTAGTAGGCTGATTCGTAGGCACGTAGTAGACTGCGTGGTGCTGATTCTCAGTAGGCTCCGTCCTCCGCCATTTCGACTCCAGTTGGGTGTCCTGTTTTAGAAAAAAAACGACAAAACACAAATTAGTACAACACTTTGGAATTCGAATCTTCAAGAAACGAACTGACAAGGAAACAAATCAAGCAGAGAGCAGTAAAAAGCTTACCAGCTGCTCCACTGCTCCCTTGTAGTCTGCCATTGCTCTTGTGGTCCGCCATTGCTCTTGTAGTCCGCCGTTGCTCTTGTAGTCCGCCGTTGCTCTTGTAGTCCGCCGTTGCTCTTGTAGTCCGCCGTTGCTCTTGTAGATTGCTCCTTAGTAGATTGCTTTGTAGGCCATCTGATCCGCAATTTGCTCCTGTTTAAGAAAAAAAACAGCAAACTTCAATCAGTATCTATTCATCTAAATCCAAAACTTAAAAGAAAACGGATGCTGACAGCCAACGGATAAAGCAGAAAACGGTTAAACAGGCAGATCCGCCCAAAAAGTTTTCTTGATGCAGATCCGCTTCAACGCCGTTGATCTTGTTGCAGATCCGTTCAATGCCGTTAATCTTGTTGCAGATCCGTCTCTGCCTCCGCTCTCAAGCAACGTGATCCTTTGTTGCTGAAAGGCGAGGGCAGGAAACAAAGGAAACAGATGCTAGAAGTTAGTAAACAGCAAACAAAGGGTAAATCAAAGGAAAAACAAATGCAAAAGCGAAAATGATTGTGAAAACCAACGACGAGAAAACGAAACGGGCGGACGTCCATGGTTCACAGGCTGCAGCCACAGAGGGAGGAGACGCTCTGATCTACCCAACCCACACGCTATTCTACCCAACAACCCGAGGAGGATCATCTGCAGCTACAGCCATGTGAACCAGAGGGACGGTGGAAACGGCGACGAAACGAGTGGGCGATTGTGGGATGAAAACAATTATAAAACGAAAGCGGGAAAGCAGCAAATCGAAAAAAGCAACGAAATAGGGACAAGGGAAGCAACACTTCCCGATCGTTGTAGGCAGCGGGATGAATGGCGGCAGCGGGATGAACGATGGCAGCAACTCATCCAGCGCGCTCCACCCGCCAGCCACGCCGTCAGACCGCCAGTCTTGTCTGCTGCTGCTGATTCGTTGTCAGCTTCGTCAACTCCTTGAAACTCCTCGCTTTATTGACGTGATCTTGAGTTCCTGAAAAGCAAGGAAGACACAAAGTGCTCGAAGTTAGTAAAAAGCTATGACAAGGAGAAAAACAAAGAGAACACAAATGCGAGAAGCAAAAAACAAGATTCAAAACAAACATAAAAACCAACGACGAGAAAACGAAACGGGCGGACGTCCATGGTGTCAAAACATATGCATATCATTATCTAGGGTATATTGGTGCTAGCCTTAGAGGGTACAGAAACTTTCTCGACACTCTAGTCTTGTTCCCCAACCTTGACCTAATCTCATCATTCCCTTGACTTAGTCTTAACATGGTATCTAGATCAGGAGGTCTCTAGGACCTAAGAATCGGGCCCACCTAACTGTGTAACCACCTGCCTGCCTTGCCTACTGCCCGCGCGCGCCTCGGCTGCAGCGCGCGTCACCTTTTTTTTTTTTCCGCGCGCGCCTCGGTTTCTAGCGCGCGCGTCACTGTTTTTAGCGTGCGCCACTGCTGCAGCGCCGCGCGCCGGCCCGCGTCGCCCGCGCAGCCTCGTGTAGAGCCCGCGCGCCCCTTACGCCGCCCGCGCGCAGCCTGCTTAGGCCACGCCCGCGCAGCCCGTCGCCACGCGCAGCTAGGAGCCGCGCGCAGCCCGTCGCCACGTGCAGCCAGGAGCCGCGCGCAGCAAGTAGCCACGCACATCAGAGAGCCACGCGCAGCCCTCAGCCGCACGCAGCAAGCAGCCGCGTGTGCCCTACTCGTGTACCTGCCTGTGAGGCTCACTGCTGCCGAGCCCACTGCCTTAGAACTGCTCGGCCTGCTACTGTCTAGAGCCCCACCTTAGGAGCTCGAGTGCAGCAAGCTACTGCCCTGCACGTTGCCTGTACTGCCTGCTGCCTACTGCCTCTGTCTTAGCCTGCGGTCTACTGCCTACTGCCTACTGCCTCCTGTCTACTGCCTGCCTGCTTTCTGCTGCCTTTGCCTGCTGCCATTATGACGACGCCTAACGTTCTCGCGTTTGAGCCTGACGGCCGCCCCATAGAGTTCGCTGTGTGGTTAGATGATCTCCAACTGTTCCTTCTGACCGATGCCAAAGAGGGCGTTTCACTGTTCGATTACGTGTCTGGCACTGCCGTTGCTCCTGCTGCCGATGCTCCTGCTCTCGAACGCTCACAGTGGCAGACTCGTGATGCTGCTGCACGCCTAGCTATTAGGAACCATCTGCCGATTACTGAGCGCGCGCATTTCAGCCAGCACAAAACTGCTAAGACGCTGTACGACGCTGTAGTTGCGCGCTACTCCTCCCCGGCCACTGCAGCCATAGGTCGGCTCATGCTACCCTACCTGTTCCCCGACCTTTCCTCGTTCACCACTGCTGAGGACCTCATTTCCCACCTGCGCGCTACTGACACTCGCTTTCGTGCCGCACTTTCCGCCAAGTTCTGCGACGCAAACCCCCCCCCCCGATGTACTTCACTCTCTATTTCCTCGTCACCCGCCTCCCTGACACTCTTAGCTCCGTCAGGGACCACTTCTTAGCGCTAGACCCCCCCACTCTCACTGTCGACGACTTCGAGAAGCACCTCCTTGCAGCAGAGAAGAACATCCTCGCTGTAGGTGCTGCTCGTGGCACTCCTCGCTCTCCCCTCTTTGAGGGGTGCTCCCCCTCCCCTCTCACCCCCTCCTCCGTAGCTGCTGCTCACGACTACCTTGGTGCTGAGGAGGTCGGGGCTGCTTCCGCTCCTAGTGGGAAGCGTCGCAGCGACAGGGGCGGCAAGGGTGGCAGGGGAGGTGGGGGTGGCGGTGGAGGTGGCGGTGGAGGTGGCGGCGGGGGAGGTGGAGGTGGTGGAGGCGGTCGTGGGGGTGGAGGTGGTGGAGGTGGTGGTGGGGGCAGCAGAGGCACTGGGAGCGGTGGAGGTGGCAGCAGCGGCGGTGGGGGAGGAGGGAGCGGTGGTGGCAGTGGAGGTCAGGGCCAGCAGCAGCCGCAGCAGCAGCAGCAGCAGCAGCAGCAGCGTCAGCGCCAGACCCCCACTTCCCAGCAGCTTCTTGACTGGTATGCCGGGCGTGGGGCTTCTGGGGGTCCTGGTCGCTGCCCCTATATCATTCGCACAGGTCCCCGCGCTAATCGCCAGTGCACAGGGTTTCACACTGAGCAGCGCTGCTTCGCTCGGCTTAGCGACGCCTGGCGCGCCAAGTTTCCTGATGCTACTGAGTTCCCCAACTGGGCAGACTTGCTTAGGCGTGATGTACCTATCTTTGATCTTGACTATGAGGCAATTCTTGCTGCTATGTATGCATTCACTGTTAGTGCTGAGGGTGACTGCTACTTGTGTGTGCCGCCGGATCCTGGTATAGCCCCTGGTATAGCCCCTGCAGCACTAGGTGCTTGTGAGTCTGCTCCCCTTGGTACTGCGCCTGCACAGGCCTTGCACACCTTTACACTTGACTCTGGTGCTTCCCGCTGTTTCTTTCGCGATAGTACCACAGTCACTCCCCTCCCTGCACCTGTTCCTGTCTCACTGGCTGACTCCTCTGGGGGCCCAGTGCTTGCACGGTCTTCCACTGTGCTTCCGTGTCCGGCGGTCCCGTCTGGTGAGCTGTCTGGTCTCCACCTCCCTTCGTTCTCTACGAACTTGGTGAGCAATGCCGTCCTTCAGGATCACTGGGTTGACACCTTTACTCCTGGAGGACAGCGTGTGGCAATCTGCACGTGCTCCCGGACCGGCCGTCACCGGGCCACGTTCACACGTGCGCCTGGGTCCAGTCTGTACACCCTCACCACTGCGTCGCGCTACACCCCTTTGTCTCCCCAGCTGTACGCGTCTGCTCAGGTAGCTACCCAGTGTGAGTGTCGCCGGCTGTCGCACGACACTCTCCTGTGGCACCACCGCCTTGGTCACCCCTCCTTGCCTCGCCTTCGTAGCATGCACTCTCGCTACCTGGTCTCTGGCCTTCCTGAGTCTCTGCCTGCCCTCCCTCCCTCGCCTACGCCGCCCTGCATTCCTTGCATCGAGGGGCGGCAGCGCGCCGCTCCTCACTCCTCCTCGTTTCCTCCCACAGAGGCTCCCCTGCAGACTCTCCACATGGACGTGTGGGGCCCAGCCCGCGTCCGTGGACAGGGCCACGAGCGGTACTTCCTGCTGGTCGTCGACGACTACACGTGTTACACCACCGTCTTCCCCTTGCGCAGCAAGGGGGAGGTCCCTGGTGTTTTGATCCCCTGGATCCGCGCTGTTCGTCTCCAGCTCCGCGAGCGGTTCCAGTCGGACTTTCCTGTCCTGCGTCTGCACTTTGACAGAGGTGGTGAGTTCTCCTCAGACCTCTTGGCAGCCTTCTGTGCGGAGCACGGCATCCGCCAGACGTTCACGCTTCCGGCCTCTCCGCAGCAGAATGGGGTTGCTGAGCGCCGCATTGGCTTAGTCATGGAGGTCGCTCGTACCTCCATGATCCATGCGGCTGCCCCCCATTTTCTGTGGCCGTTTGCGGTCCGGTACGCCGCGCATCAGCTAAACCTCTGGCCCCGTGTCTCCTTGCCGGAGACCTCGCCCACACTGCTGTGGACGGGGAAGGTTGGCGATGCGTCGCGTTTCCGGGTCTGGGGTGCTCGTGCCTTTGTCCGCGATACCACCGCGGACAAGCTCTCCGCTCGCGCCATTCCCTGCGTCTTCCTTGGCTTTGTCCCTGACGCGCCTGGCTGGCAGTTCTACGACCCCGCCTCGCGTCGTGTCTTTCCGTCTCAGGACGTCACCTTTGACGAGTCCGTCCCCTTTTACCGTCTCTTTCCCTACCGCACTGCCCCTCGCCCCCCACCGCCGCTCTTTCTCGCCCCAGGTCCTCCCCAAGTAGACCCCCTCCCCGCGCCAGGTCCTGCTCCTTCAGGTGTTTCTCAGGTAGACCCTCCCCTGCCTGCGCCTGTTGAGGTCACTGATGACTCAGGTCCTGCTGGGGGTGGTGCTGTCTTTGGGGGTGCTGGGCCTGGGGGTGCGGAGCTTGGGGGTGCTGAGCCTGGGGGTGCGGAGCTTGGGGGTGCTGAGCCTTGGGGTGCGGAGCCTGCGCGTGAGGACCCAGGAGGTACTGAGCCGGGGGGTGCGGA